CGCTGTTGGAGGAGCAACACAGCCCCATCTCATTCTGCTGTCTCACCTGTGCCGCTCCAGGGACATCTGAGCCGATGGCTTTTTTTTTTTTTTTTGGCAAACATTTAAAAAGTGTATTTTGATTGACTTCAGAGAGGAAGGGAGAGTGAGAGAGAGAGAAAGCAACATGAATGATGAGAGAGAATCCTTGATCGGCTGCCTCCCGCACACTTCCTACTGGGGATCGAGCCTGCAACCTGGGCATGTGCCCCGACTGGGAATCGGATCATGGCCTCTGGGTTCCTAGGTCGAGGCTCAACCGCTGAACCGCCCAGCCCGGCTGAGTGCCGGCTTTGGCTCATTCGCCGGCTCATTCGGGCGAGCATGGTCCCAAGGCAGTGACATCTGAACACAGCAGGGCAGCCGCTCTCGTGCTTCCCGATTGACAGTGTTTCATTCCTCGCAGGCATCGACCGCACGCCCTCCGAGCCCCCTGCCGGCCGCTGCCCGCAGCCCCGGGACCACGCTGTTCCCAGTGCCAATAAAGGGTCCCCCGAGGACAGGGCTGCGTGTCCTTTGGCGCCCGGGCCCTGGGAGTCTCTTCTCCTCCAGGGCAGCCTGGGCTGGTGGCCTGTGTGGTGGACTGGCTCCTCGGGCGGGTGTGTCATGTGCCCCTGGCCCCTCAGGTCCCCCTTCTGCCAGCTCAGCCAGTGAGAACAGGTAGGGCTGTGGCCACTGTCCAGCTGGACCCTCCAGGGGCAGGGCCAGTGGTGGTCCCAGAGATGAGGTCCCGAGTCAGCGAGGGGCTGGGTGGGGCGAGGCTGGAGGAGGCCCTGCCCTGGTGGTGTCACCTCGGGCGTGGGGTTGGGAGGCCGTAGGTGCTTTGGGCACTCCTCCTGGGCAGTCCTCCGCGGGGAGCTGGGACCCTGGACCTGCGGGACGGCCCCAGGCTGAGGCGGGGGATGGTGTCTCAGGGGTGGCTGGGTGGCCAGTAGCTGAGTTGCTGCAGCCAAGTCCTCCGCCGTGTGGGGAGCTGTTCTGCGCTCCCTCCCGCGTGGCCTCTGGATCACGGCGAGTTCCTCTCCTGTTCTGGACCCTCACCTGGCGCCACATCAGCTTCTGTGCTCGGGACCCTCGCCCGTAAGTGGGGTGAAGTGGGGTGGGCTGGAGGGTCGGGACCCTCACTCTGCTGGGGCCTCACCACTCAACCCTGGGAACTCCCGCAGGGACCCGGACGGGAGGCCACACCCCCTACGCCGCCCTCACGTCCCCCTGAACAGGAGCAGCACTCAGACTGCCAGCCGCCTCTCCCTGCCGCCCCCTAGGATCTGCGGGAATGAGACGCTGGGAGGAGGCGGGACAGGTGGCAGAGCCCAACGAGCGCCTCGGCACCCGCTCCCCCACGAGGGGCTGCACAGGCTAAGGTATCGGTTATTTATTTTTATTGACTTCAGAGAGGAAGGGAGAGGGAATCATTGATCGGCTGCCCCCTGCATGCCCCACACTGGTGATCAAGCCCGCAACCTGGGCGTGTGCCCTGACCGTGACCTCCTGGTTCATAGGTTGATCTTAACCACTGAGCCACACCGGCCGGGCTCAGGTATCGGTTATTGATCCCGGACACCTGGCTGCTCGGTGTCCCGAGGGGTTCCTACCCAGGCTTGTAATTCAGCAGCCGCAGCAGAGCTCACAGTGCCCGAGGCGGTGCTGAGACAGAAGAGGCGGGAGCCGGGTCATGCTTAGTGTTTTATTTAATAAAACAAGCCATGCCATCGACCCTCAAAACACGTGCCTGGGCCCGCCCACCTCACCTCCCACCAGTCCTGACCGTCCGTCCTCACGCTCCTCCAGCCTCAAACCGACGACCTGGCTCCGACAAGTGCATGCCTTTCGAAGGTTTAAGAATGAGAATGAGTCCGTGTTAAATATTGCATCGTCCCCTACAGACGGGAGCTGGGAAACGTCGTTCACTCCGTGCACAGGACGGCGACCCCACGCTCGTAGAAGCTGCGAGGGTCTTCCTTGGTGGCAATTTCAAAGTCCACCGTGAAGATGAGGTCTGCCCGGGTGAAGTTCAGGTAGACAGGTAAGGTCACCTGCGAGGAAAGGCGGGGTCAGTGCTGGCAGAGGGAGAGGGAGGTGGCGGCGAAGGCGCCAAGGGCCTTCCTGAGGAAGTGGGGCTCCTGGACTGTGGACCAGGTGCGGGTCCCGCTCCCGGGTGGACAGGGGAGGTGACTTCGCTCTGGTTACGGGGTTGTGTCTCCCCGACCACAGAGGCCAGGAGGCGCCACCTACCACGTTAGCTTTCTTCTCCGCGTTTGTCTGCTTGACCCAGCGCAGCTGTGTGAGGGGCAGGACCGTGGAGATGGCGTTGGAGAGCGAGAGCTTGTTGTTGCTGCACATGGCCCCCTGCAGCTTCAGACCTGGAGGAAGGACCAGCCATGAAGAGTGGGAACAGCCCGGGAACCCGCGGCCCAGCTCCAGCTCCTGGCCCTCTGACCTCCTTCCACACGTCTGGGGGCGACACGGAGGCTGGGTCCACACCCTCCAACTCACCCGTGACCCCAAAGCTGCAGGCGTCCAGGGTGGTGTTCTGCGAAGTGGTGACATTGACCTCCAGGCAGAGCTCCTCCAGGGACCAGCTGTTGGCCTGGGCCACGTACTGCCTCGTGGCGGTGATGTACGCCTCGGGCACGAACAGGCCACCCAGACACACGTGGATGTTCTGTGGGGAGAAGCAGCCCCGGTGAGGAGCACGCCCCACGCGTCCTCCCAGGTCAGAGCTGGGCCTCTGCTTGCCCGCCCCCCCTTTAACCCCCCACCCCCCGCCCCACTGCTGCTGCCACCCCTCCCCCAGCCGCTCAGGAGCGCCATCACCACCTTCAGCTCCTTGGCACCGCCAGACGCAGCCGCCAGAGAAATATTCTGTAGCTGTTTGATCCTCTCGCTGAAGTCAGACACCCACTGGATGACGGTCATGCCCGCAGGTACCGTGTAGTGGGACCAGCTGCGCGGCAAGATCCCTGCAAGGAGACCCAGGCTGCCGGCATCAGTTCCCACAATCCCCCAGCACAGACTGGGCCAACCTGCTGGCACTCACCTGGGTCCCGAGTGTGTCCACAGAGGCACCCTCCGCCCCCTCCCCCCAGCTGCACCGCATGCGCCCTGGCCAGGGCTCCACCTGCCCTACAGCAGTTCAGTGCACCCGAGGGTGCATGTCTGGAGGACCTGACACCACAGCCACAACCTCTAACCCACAGCTCTGCCTGGAGGCCACTGATGATGCGGGCTCTTGGGGTTGCTGGGCGACACCTGGGCTACCCTGAGTCTTTGCACCTGCGGCGCCCAATTTTCCTGTCCTGCTCCCCCACCCCCCATATACTGCAGAAGTTGCATAAAGCTTTTAGTTCCTGTTCGACGGACCAGCATAAAAGGAAAACAAATGCCTTTGGCCTTCCTTCCTAAGGCTGCCCGAGTGAGGGGCCCAGCGGCCGGAGAAGCCGGAGCAGAGGACGGGGTACGAGACCTGGCGGGACCTGCTGATGCTCTGAGCACAGAGGCCGACGCCCAGCCCCCGAGCACACCTTTCACCAGCTCGTTTATGAGCGTGCGCAGGTAGTTGGTCTGCTTCTTCTTCCCTTCGCACACTTGGACGACGTCAGCGAGATCCTGGCGGACATCCTGCAGCAACTTGGCGCCCATCTTCACTTCTCTCTCGAAGAATCGGAACAAAGGGTCCTAAGGTGGTTCGCACCGAAGGCAGAGCGAAGGGAAGAGGGTTTAGAAGAGGCCTCCTCCCCAGTAACCAGCCCCAGGACCCCAGCACCGTGCAGGTGCCCACGGCTGCCCGAGCAGGATCTGGGCCCGACCTCCATGATGCTGGTTGGACCTGACAGGGTCCTGCTGACAGGCAGCAGCCCGGTCCCCAGCTCCTGGGAGATGGACAGCCTTCGGGACTCGCCGTTTAGTGAGGCAGCCTCCCGTCTGGCTTGGGCGAGTGCCTCTGGGACAGCACTGAGCACAGTCTGCCACCGGCCACCTGGCTAAGAGCGTCTCGAGCCCCTGGACTTCGGTGACCCCGCCCCTCCCGCCGGTCACCTGACTAAGAGCATCTCCAGCCCCTGGACTTGGGTGGCCCCGCCCCTCCCGCCGGTCACCTGACTAAGAGCGTCTCGAGCCCCTGGACTTGGGTGGCCCCACCCCTCCTGCCGGCCACCTTGATGTTGTCCACTGTTCGCTTGAGATGGCTCAGCGTCTGGGGGATGAGGTGCAGCCAGTTGGAGGCGGTGGTGTGCAGCGTCCTCATCCAGGCGGGGCGCCCGTCGGACGTGGAGTCCGCCCGCGCCTTCTTCTCGGTCTCCGCGTAGGCCAGGTCGTCCTCGTCCTCCAGCATCTGCATCTTTAGCATCTTGCTGATCATGTCCACGCCTGGGCCACATTCCCAGCAGCGGAGGGGGCAGCGAGGCAACAGGGAGAGCAGAGGAACAAAGGATTTCAATGTGAGGCCACAGAGTGAGTTACCCACAGGGCGTGCAGGAGGCAGCCCATCCGCGTCGCACTCCCACATCGATGTTCTTTCTCCTCCTCTCTCTAAAAATTACAAACCAACCCCTTCCCCAAAACAGATGGCTGGCCCCCAGCAGCCAGTTCTGAGTCCGGAGGTGTGGGGTGGGCCTGAGAACCTGCCTTTCTAAGAATGTGCAGGCGAGGCTCATGCTGATCTGGGGACCACACTTTGAGAACCACTGGATCAGATGCTTATTGGGAAAGCATCTGGCAAGTGAAAAAATTCTAAAAACATTCCAGTAAGAGACTGATGGTTTAAAACATCCCTCAGTACCGGTTACTTGCCAACTCTCAGACGACAAGCTGAAATGCTTTCTGTGTGGACTGACCCCCTCACTTGCACAGACACAGCCTCCCAGCCCCGCCTGAGCTGCAGGACTCTGCGGGGTGAAGTCGCTGCCCGGGAGCGGGCGTGGGCGGCCTGAGGGGACCGGGCACTCACCCTGGGTGGTGAGGAGGACTCTCTCGGCGTTGTTGGGCAGGCCCAGCCAGGAGGGTGTCTGGGTGTCGGGGAGCAGCTCCACCCACTGCACGAACTCCTCTCGCCTGGAAAACCAGCACACGGGTCGTGCCGTCACGCGAGAAGGGGAACTGCCTGGCGTCCCGACCGCACGGGCAGGGAGCGGCCGTACCTGATGCCGTCCGGCATTTGGATGTCCTTGTGCCCGTCGACCTTGCAGGCCAGCTTGAACTCGCTGTCGAAACTCTTCGTGGTGAACAGGCGCTCCAGGAAGGTGTTGAGCAGACGCTGGTCAAACTCGTTGTCCACGCGCCCGCCGTAGATGGACTGGGCCATCAAGGTCTTCAGCGCGGACCAGGGGATCTTATCCGGCGAGATGTTCTGCCGCCCCTGGGCGAGCAAAGGCCGGTCAGTAGGGGTGGGGGCACGCCCTGGGCCCGTCTGCAGGGTCCTCCCTCACACTCACACCTAGCAGGTCGTTTGCGCTGCCCGCTGGTTTCTAAGCTGCCCTCACAACCGGGAACGTTTCTAGGCTTCCCCTCCCTCTGACCAGGCACAGCCCACACTTGCCTTTGCCGTGTCGTCCAGCCACGTGTCCACGGTGTCGCAGGCCGACCGCAGGTCCGACTCCCCGAACTCGTACTTCTTTGACCAGCCCAGGGGAGCATACCGTAAGCGTTCCTGGATGATGGCGTGGAACCAGGCCAGCAGGAAGTACAAGCGCGCACGCTCGTTGGGAGACTACGGGAGGAAAGTTACCAAGGATGGGTCACCAGAGAGCAGCGCCCTTTCGGTCTGGGAAAACAGTGCCGATCCTCGTGGGAATCGAGGCTTTGAACCACCGTGAGCTGCAGGGCTCACCATGCGGCAGGTGAACACAAACGAGAGGTGTGGTTAGTGACACTGCTGAGGTAGGTGATTCAGCCAACAGTGATGCGGACGACGGTGCGTCCTGGCACAACATAAAACACAGCTGGCCTCCAGCTATGTGGGTTTGGACTGCACGGGTCAACTTACACGTGGACTTGTTTTCAACAAATAGCTCTTCCTATTGCTGGGTTTTGCACCCCCAGATGTGGAGGGCTGATGACATGTCTTGTTCTGCACCATTTGCATAGGGGATGTGAGCAGCATGGGACTTGGTATCCACCGGAATCCTGGCACCAACCCAGACACTGACTGTAGAGGTTTTCGGGGAGTCAAGTGACCGTGGATTTTTGACTGCAGAGGTCACTGTTCCAGGTCAACTGCAGCATGAAGAACGCCCCTCCTCCTGCCCACCCCTCGGGGCGCCCATGACGGGAGCAATGGATTCCCCAGCATCTGGGATACAAATGGGTTCCAGGACTTTGCTGTGGGCGTGTCACAGCCCTGCCCCCACACGAGTACGTGGACCTTTAACCTTTTACTGCATGTGAACTGCCGGCAGTTAGGAAACCACCTGTGGACGGGCCCTCTGGGTGTCTGGGGAGCAGGGAGGCGGCGCCTGAATGCGGCGACGGCCCTGCCTTTGCTAAGACAGACTAACGCGGGCCTTACCTTGCATATCCGCGCGACGGGGATGCTGCTGAACGTCCTCAGCATGTTGGCCTTCACTCCCGGGGGCGGCTCAAACACGAAGATGCGGCCGGCTCGGAGCAGGTTCACGGGCACCTGAGAAGAGGGGCCTGTCACCGCTCTGTGTGCTGGGCGCTGTGGCTCAGGTGCCCACACCCCCCCGGGCAGGATGTCCGCCAGTCTCCCCCGGCGCCCACCTTGGGGTTGATCTCCATGGTGAGGAAGAGCCGGAAGCAGGCGTGCGGCTGCAGGGAGTGCAGCTTCTTCTCGAGCTGCATCAGCCACCCCGGGGCCAGGTGCACGTTCTTCAGCATCACCCACCTGCAGGCAGAGCGAGAGCCGCCACGCTCAGTGTCCTGTCGGCCCCTGGGAGCCAGGCGTCCTGAGCAAGCACAGCAGGCCTACCTGCCCGACTTCACCGCCGTGTTGATGGCCTTGTCCGCTTGGTTGAAGCCTTCTGCTGAGCCTGGGGCCAGAAGCTGAGTCAGCACGCAGGCCGCAGGCGGGAGCGCGGGGCTTCCACCCAGACCGTGACCAGGCCCCGCCCCCGCCCCCTTACCGATCGCGATGGATGTGATCTGCGTGTTCTGCTCGGCCGCCAGGTCTTCCACGTGCCCGCTGGCATCATAACCAGGCACGGAGCACATGAGGACAGGCGTGTTCGGCTTTACCTGCAGATGAAGAAGTCGGGATTCAGCTCGGGCGTCCAGCGGACAGCGTGGCCCCGTGCGGAGCGAGGAGAGCCCTGTGACGAGGCCCACCTCTGTGTCCACGATGTGCGTCAGGTCGAGCGGCTGCTCCATGATGGACATGAAGGACTCGCCGAGGTTCGTGGAGACAAACACGTGGGCCATGGCCAGCAGGCGGTCGGGGCGGAAAGCCTGGATCAGGAGCAGGCGGTGGATGGCTTGCCCGATGGGCGCTGAAACGAGGCCGTGAGAGGGGTGGGAGTTGGTGACAGCACTGATTGAGCTGACCCCCAGCCTGGACTTTCTCGGGAGGAGTCTCTAATCAGCAAACACTCAGCCCCTCAGAAGTTGCAACACTGCCTCTGGTCCTCTCTGCCCGGGAGAACTGCCCCTACCTGGTCCTCAGCGAGCCCCTGGACACACGAGGACACCTTCATGGGCACTGGGCACTTAGGATTTTAAATGACCCACTGTACCCGCTCACTGTGTAGATAGAACCCCGAATCCTCCGTCTACAGAGCAGGGCAGTCATCACCAGCCCTCCCCGTGGCCTGCGGCTGGTGCTCACCCCACCTCTAGGGGCCTGGCTGGCCACACACACAGTAACAGCCCATCTCCCCTCCATGCTGGGCAAGGGCCTTCCTATCATTTCTCGTTGGGTCCTGAAGCACGAGAGGGGACAGGCATGAGCAAAGGTTGCTCTCCCACTGCTAAGCCGACTCCTAAAGCTTCAGCACAGACACTGCTCTCAGGAACCAGTGGCTGCGAAGCCCAGGAGGGGATGACGGGGCCTGACGGGGCTCACTTGCGGGGCTCTCTTCACTCCAGAGGTAGGGCACCGTCTGCTCAGGGGAGCTGCTGTCCAGCCAGATGCCGAATTGCTGTGGAGACACAGTGGGAGCGTCACCGCGAGCAGAGCTCATGCTCGTGGGCACAGGCGGCCCTGGTACCGCAGGCGCACAAGCAGGGGGCTCTGGTGTCACCACACACACTCCTGGTGCGCTTCCCGGGGAGAGGAACGTCAGCACCCACCTCGTCGGCCTGAACCTTGGCGATCAGGTCTCTGAACGCAGGGAGGCAGCTCAGCCTCACGACGGCTTCCGCCTGCTCCACAGTCAGGCCCTGGATGGTGGGCGTGGAGCCGGCCGTCAGCACGATCTCCTTCCCTCGCAGGAAGTGCTGGAACTCCGCATCGTAGGTGGGCTCCCTGCAAAGGGTGGTGGGCTAGTAGGTGTCTTAGACGCCTACTGAGAGCCGCATGACTGACAGGACAGTGCCCGCCCAGGATGGAGTGGGCCGGCGCCGCCTTACCCGAGGGTGCCCTTCAGCTTGATCCTGGCCAGCAGCATGGCGAAGGTGATGTGGTCCTGGTGCAGCATGCCCCTGGCCACCCGGTTGAACGCCACCTGGGGGCCAAAGCAGGAAATGCTGCTGCTCTGAGGAGCCCCGCTGCCCGCCCCGCCCCACCCCGCCCGACAGCAAGCGGCCGCACCTGGAAGAGGTCCTTGGTGATGATGGAGAGGCGCTGCGTGTGGTCCGTGATGCCCTTCAGGTTGGGGTTCTCGTACAGGACGTTGTGGTAGATGTCCAGGAAGAACTGCAGCGAGTACTGGTACAGGAAGTGTATCTGCCGAGGAGGCGACGGGGCCGTCAGCACCCACCCGGCACCGCGTGCCCTCGCCCGGCCGCCGCCCCTGCCCCTGCCGCGCGGTCACCTGCTTCAGGGACTCCATGGTGAAGTAGATGCTGCTGCAGGCGGTGGACAGCGGCAGGTACTGCTGGGACACCGTCTCCACCTCCTGCATCACGATGTCGGTCTCCTCGACCTTTCGCGTCACCTCGGCGGCCTCCCGCTTGAGGTTCTCCAGCGTCGTGATGATGGTGTCGTCGTCCAGGATGCGCCCCTTCACCTCGTTGAGCGCCTGCAGCAGGGACTTCTCCAGCTGCCGCAGGCGGAGCTGGAACTCCCCTGGAACAGACAGCGGGGTCTGCGGCAGCGCTCCCTGGCTAAGGGACGCGCTCCGAGAGCCCGGCGCACGCGGAAACATCGGCCCCTCGAAGCCCAGCCTCCGTACCCCCAGCCCCACCCAGGAACGTACCTTGGAGCTTAAGAAGGTCGGAGCGTTTCTCGTCCACGTCAGGTCTTTCTGCTTTGAGCACCTCATTGAGACACTGGCTTTGTAAGCTGCTGCGGGTGACGGTGAAGTTGACGAAGGTGACCCGGGAGCAGAGGTCTGGCGGGAACTCCACCTGCCGGAAGGGGTAACGGGACCGTCTGCTTTGATGCGTCAGCCTCGACCCCACTATGCCATGTGCCTACGGGAAGGGCTCGCTCCTTACGGTTGGGTCGCGGGTGGACAGGAAGATGACGAAGGAGGGGGACAGGTCAATGTCCTGGTCCCCGAGGGTGATCAGCACTCTCCCTCCCGTGCGCCGCACCTCGCGGTTCAGCACCGGATTCAACACCGGGTCGTAGCTTTCCACGTCCTGCAGACACACGTGGAGACGGCCGGGGTGACTGTGTGCACCAGGTGAGGGTGCCTCGACAGACGTCCCGCTCCGGTGAGCACACCTTCCCAGCGTACCAGCCGTTCAGACCAGCACCAGCAACACGGGGCCAGAGTCGCAGCGGCTGCTTTAAAAACACTCCGTCCCTCAGTCACGTTAGCCAGACGTGCCCACGACGGCCGGGCATCTCCGTCACTGCCAGGGGACGGGACCAGCTAAGGGGCATCTACGTGCAAGCCCTGCTTTTGTTGGTTTGTTTTCTAATAGGACACTCTCTAAGCTTTTCCTGCTCTGCCACAGGAAGGCTCACAAAGCTCACAATCTGCCCCTTTGTACCAGTCAGTCAGGTGTCTTTCACATGGACTTTCAGTGTTTGAAACAACTGAACGTCTCCTAACAGGACTTCCCTCTCGGAAGCAGGATGTGAAGAGCTCAGAGGCGCACAGACCTGGACCAGCAGCGGGTTCCCGAACCGCAGCGCGCTCTCCAGGTTCTTCCTGAAGGCGTCGTCCAGGAAGCTGGTCCGCGTGATCTTGCGGTCCTTGTACTCGTTCATGATGAACTCCGTGGCCTGTCCCGAGGGGTCGATGATCAGCGGGTACCTGAGGATGAGGCGGAGGAGCCGTCGGGGAAGGCAACAGGAAGGCAAGAACATGGCGGGGGGAGTGGGGGGCCGAGCCAGACAAGGCAGGCGGAGAGGCTACTGCCGCTCAGGTGTGGTTTCCAGATACTAATGACAATGGTGCCCGAACAGAGGCTGAGCAGGGCTGCAGTTACACCCTCTCTCGGCCGAGCACACGGTCAGAATGGCTGTTCTATGCACTAGTCACGGCCCTTCATGGGTAGGGACGTCAGTGCTACGGCTGCACCTGTCAGCCATAATCCCATGAGGCATGTTCTCACACCTGTTTTTATAAAGGAGGAACGAAGAGGCTAAAATCTGTTCAGGGTCACACAGCCAATTAAGACAAAGTTTAAAACGTAACACACACACACATGCTTCTATAAAGTTCAGAAGCTACAAAAGTGAGAAGAATCCTCCTGTAGCCCCCAGTTTCTGGTTGGTCTGCGTGAAGATTAGGTGTTTATAGACGTGTGTCCGAGGGGGAGCGCACCCCCCTGCTCAGCACCTGGCCTCACCCCGTCTGCCGGAGCCCCCTTGGTGCGTGCACGGCTCTGTGTGGACAGCGGGCTGGCAAAGACCCCCGGCCTCCCCGTGCATGGGCCTAACAAGGGCACCCGCGGCACCCCACCTTCCGCTGGCGCACTCTGGCCTCACGTGCCAGCTATCGAATCAACACCTAGAAGTGTGTGTGCTTTCCATGAGCAGATCCAGCTCCACACACCACAGACGGGGCAACATCTCGAGATGCTCATGGGACCTGAGGGTTTGCTCCTGAACTCCAACAACACTGGCCTAGTCTCATCATCTGTGTCCCTGGACCAATGGCACACAGCAAGGGCTCACAGGTTCTAACACATCCAGATGAGGTTAAAAATAAACCTGAGGATAAGGTTTTAAAAAAAACAACCCGGGCCGGTGTGGCTCGGTTGGGCGGTGTCCCGTACAACAAAAGGTTGCCATCTGATTCCCGGTTAGGGTACATGTCTGGGTTGCAGACGCGATAGATGTTTAGCTCTCTCACATTGATGTTTCTCTCTCTCCTCCTCTCTCTCACTAAAAATCAATTTTAAAAATCTTTAAAGAAAACAGCAAGGACACTGGGTGTGAGAGCAGCCGCAGAGGGCCGAGCCTGAGAGCTCTGTGACCGGCAGGGTCTAGCCCACCTTCGTGGAGTCACGGTCCATGTCTCACTCTGGCAGCCATTTCTCCTGTGACACTACTGCAAGCTGAGTATTTTCAGTCCCAACATTTCAAGGTCTGGTCTGTTCAATGTCCACCCGGCACACAACCCGGCCATTCAGTTTCATCAGGTTAGAGCAGAAACAGTCACTGCAGAGCGAGTCAGACGCCGAGACCGAACAGAAGGACGTGCCCCCGCCATCGGAGGGAGCACAGACCGGTCAGCACGGCCTGCCCACGAGGAGGAGGGTTGGAAATGGGGCCTGCACACGGCCTGGCAACCCGCATACCTGTTGAAGCGTTTGAGCATGATGGCGTTCTCTGTGCACAGGTCGTCGGCAGGTAGGGAGCTGGCCTGCCAGCGGAGGCGCTCGTCAGCATTGGAAAGGTACTCCGTCCTGGCGATGTCTGTGCGGAACTGAGGGGCAGGGCGGTTAGCGCTCCTCGCTGCACGCTGTGGGCGGGGCCAGTTTCCTGGACCCGGTCAGGCTCGCCCCCCAGGAAGCTCCCGGGGCTGTACCTGGATATTGGCCTGCTGCAGGTGGTGGGACCACGTGGTGAACAGGTTCTGCCGCATCTGCTGGTCGAAGTAACCTGCATAAGCAATGAACGCCGCCGACAGGAGGCAGTCCCCAGCGATGGTGGACATCTGGTTTTTGAAGGTTTCGCTTGTTTTTTCCCATCGTTCGCGTTCAGCAGACAGACTCTTCAGAAGGGCAGTGCTCCGGTTCACCTAGAGGACAAGCAGCAGGGTCTACACAGGGAAGCGCACGCCGTTCCCCACACTGTGTGCAGGCTTAGGGCAGGCTGGGAATACAAGCAGGCTCAGGTCACAGCCTGAGCAGAGACGGGGCAGGAAGAAGGATGGTGGAAGGGACAGCAGGAAAGGGCTGGCCTGTAGGGAAGATGCAGGGGCAGAGATTAGAGTATTCTGAGGACTCAGAGGGCGGGTGTGAGCGATGATGGGGACACAGTGGATGGGAGGCCCTGACAAGGAGGCCCTCGGTGACCGGAGAACAAACAGGTTTGGAGCTGGGGGCGGGGAGGGGTGCACTGGTTTTAGCCTGCCCAGGGGCAGCTCCCTAAATGCCACTCAGAGCCCCAGCACCCTCAGCCATGACAGCGCTAACTCGCGGAGACAAAGGTGGTGCTCGAAGCACGTGTCATGGGTGTTGACGCCGAGACAGAATCCGGGGGTGGGCAGAAAGGTCGTGGGTCCCCGAGGACTTACTTTCGCCTCAACGGCGGCCAGGTCTGCTTTGATGGCCTGGGCCTCGGAGATGAGCACCGCGTACTCCTCCTTGTAGCGGGCGATGCTGGCCTCCAGGTCCCGGATCATCTGCTCCACCTCGTTGGCCTTCTGCTGGTTGTCCTTGGCGTCGTCCTCCAGCTTCTGCAGCTCGTTGCGCAGAGGCTCCACGCGCTTCAGCATGTCTGCGTAGTTGAGCTGAGGAGAGCGGACAGAACTCTTACTCACAAGCGACGGTCGCTGCGCACGGGAGCTCCTGGGCTCCTGGGCTCCTTACCTGTGCGATGGCCCACTTCACCATCGGCCCGCAGGCCAGGGAAGCCCGGTTCACAATTTCATAGTTGTAGCTCGGGTTGGACATGTAGTTTTTCTTCATCTTCTCCCTTATGGCATCACTGCAACAGAGGAGGCGTGTTTCTAAGTACGTGCCAGGCGAAGTGAAGCAGAGCTTTTAGGAAATCCAATGGGATGGCCAGTTCCCATCTGCTGCCCAGTGACCACGGAGGACCGGCCACTCCGACCCTCGTTCTAAGTGACAGTGGATGCAGCTGCTGAGGACTCTGACCTTCGGCCTCTCGCCTCCCTGACAGGAGACAGGCTGGGGCCAGCTCTGCAGCCCGGGCTTGGCTCGCAGGGGTGAAGGGACCAGAAAAGCCCGGAAGGAACATGGGAAAAACCTGACTCCTCGGGGGGAAAGTGGCCTGGAAAGGCATCTCTGTGACCAACACAACTTGCGCCAGAGCAACCACCCCCGACACCTGCAGTCCCCGCGGGCCCCGCCCTGCTCACCTGATCTCCTCGGCAGAGAAGTTCACGATGGTGGGGATGAAGTTCTCCCGCATGATGATGGAGCGGATCTGCTTCCAGTCCGTGGTGCTCTCGCCCAGCAGCAGACAGATGGACTCGAGCGCCAGCTTCACGGCGGCAGGGGGGTTGGCCATGGACCGCACCTCCACCAGGTGCTGCTTCTTGATGGACTTCACAGCTGAGCGCAGTGGAGGCGGAAGAGGTTTGGGGGGAGAGAGAGCATGGCAGTGAGAAGGGAGCACACCACAGCCAGACACTTTGACTCCGACTGCTCAGGAACAGCTGAGTTTCTGTCCTTAAACCCCGAAACAGCTTCAGCAGCCGGTCTTTTAAACAGTCGTGGAGAGCTTACTGAACGAGCACAAACTGCAACACTATGAAAAGCAGGCTGTCACCTTTAAAATTGCCTCAGGAAGGATCCGGAACTATTTAAAAAATGTTTTTACACGTAATGTAACTGTGCATTTCCTACAGTTTAAACAAAGAGGCTTTCGACCGGCCAGTCTAGAAGCTGCCTGACTTGCTGCGTGAAGACATGGACCCAACAGGCCTAAGAAATGGCCAGCGCCTTCCACAAGCTGAAAGGCAGTTTTCCAGCCTGAACTTGACTTAAAACACTTTTTAAGCGATTACTCAGCAGATGAGAACTAAATTCTCGCTTACGTCCAACTATGAGTAAAAATGTACAGTCTGGATGGTGCCTGTTAGTTTATCTTGTGGTGTGATGTGGAGACGACATAACGAGTTACTGGAAACAAGTTCAACGTTAGCGAGCAGGCAGGGGGCACAGGGGTGAGGCCGCTCCTAATACCGTGTAGACTGCCAACCAAGCAGGTCTGGCCCCTGCAGCCACAGTTCACAGGGTGCGAGCCATGGGGGAAGGAATGGGAAGTACTGTGGTCACCACTTAAAAATCAGTAGCCGCCGGCCACGACCAGAGCACTCTCAGACATGACCACCAGAGGGCAACACTGCACACTTCAGAGTATTTCTTGCTGAAATTCAAGCCAGAATTACAAATGGCCTATTTAAGTAATCACCAGATTTTTAGAAAATTTGTATCAGCACGAAGCTTGTTTTGTCAGTTTCCTCATGAGGAGGGCTTTGCTAAGGTGGAAGCAGCCTAGCTGGACGGAACGTTGCTTTAAGGGCCGAAGACAGCCCTTACCGTTCTGGGCCTCGATGACGGCGGGCTCCACCTTGTCCAGGTCTTCCTTGACGCTCATCTGCTTGTCTGCGATGACCTCCTGCTGCTTGTGCAGCTGCTCCTGGATTTCCTGGCTCATGACCTGGAAGGGGAGGCCGGCTCAGCGCTGGACTATGGATGGTAACCTGCCAAGTGGCTCCTAGAGCCGCACTCCTCACCCTGCCCCAAGCACCACCACCCCATTAACCTGTTAAACCCGAAAGCCACCTCAGTCCGCAGTCCCCACCCTCCTCGGAGACTGAAAACGCCCGGCTCACGAGGGCTGCAGATCCTGAAATGAAAACTCACCTTTTTCTTTTCGGCCTCTTGCTGGTCCTTCACCATCTTCTTCAGCTTGTCATTGGCGGCCGCATTCTTCACCTCCAGCTCTTGGCTCTTTATCCTCAAGTCACGACGCAGCTCTTCTACCTGGAACACAAAATCCACGCCAGGGAGGGAGGACCGTGGATAACCACTCAGAGGCCCTCACTGCCAGGCACTGTGTAACATGGCTGTGCGGCGAGTACCTGGTCCACGGTCTCCTTGATCTTCCTGAGCCCGACGTTCAGGTGCATCTGTTGCTCCTCCAGCTCGCTGCGCTTCTCGTGGAACAGGTTGGCGTAGTGGTTGATGAAGTCCAGGTAGTGGCGAGGCGTGATGGCCATCGTCCTGCCGCCCCGCTTGGCGAGCCGAGCATTAGCCTTTTAGAAAAAAAAGGTAAACCTTTCACTCTTCAGGACGTTCTCTGCGATTTAACCTCAAAAACCCCTTCTGTTCTGCCTGTTGGCCACAGTATGACACCTGGCAGGTACCCAGCCCTCAGGGGCCACAACACTTGAGCTGGGGCCTTGGCTCAGCCTCCTGCGAGGTCTTGAAAGCCCCTGAAACCTCAGCTTTCTCAAGCTCCTCTAAGACAGGAAGGGGATCTGACACCCTCAGATGCACTTCCTGGGGAGGGTGATGGCGGTGTGGTCGCTATGGAACTACAAACGGGATTGCTACGGTTAGCTACGCCTCCTCTGCCGCCGCTGCTTGTTTCTGTGGACTCCACCAGGAGAGCCAGCCCCGGGCAAGGCAGCGCAGGCTCCCGTCACCATGCTGCCCTCTGCCAGAGGGGATGTGTAGCACACAGCGGCGGGACCTGCGGCCAGCAGGAAGCCAGGGCTGGACGGCCTTCTGGAAGCCATGAAGGTTCCCGCAGGTGTGATGGGGGTGTGGAGGGCAGGGCAGTGGCGCCAGAACCCCCACAAGCTCAGAGTGGTTTTTACAGGCATTTCAGGTGGAAGTGGACTGGACGCTTCTACCAGAGTCAGGAGCAAGGTCAGCAGCCAGGCCCAGGCAAGCCCTGCCCTGCACGTTCCTGTGCAGGAAGCGGGCGGCACAGCACGCCCATCCGTCTACACGGGAACTGCGGGGCTCCTGTGCTACACGGGCAGAGCCAGAGCCCTGTCTGCCTGCAAAGCCTGGCCCTTTACAGAAACAGTACGCAGATCCCTGGGTGAGAAGAGCACAGGCCCGGACACAGGCGTCAGTGAGCACAGGAGAGAACACTGTAGGGAGAATCGGGGGCAGGAAAGGGCGGTGACAAGATGTCGACAGAGGTCAGGAAAGAGAAGAGCAGGGTATCTCTGTGGCAGGTGACGGCCCAGGGGCGACTGTGAAGCACCACAGGGCCCCGCTCCATGACCCACCTGGTGAAGAGTCTGGTGGACAAACACACAGCTGTTCACGATGGCCTCCCGGTGTGACGGCGGCTGCGGCAGTTTGTCATACACGACCGGCATGTAGTCGGGCACAATGTAATTCGGCTTCTCCAGGTCCATCTTGCTGGTGAATTCTTTGCCAACTTGATAGAGCGCTTCCGTGGACCAGTCCCCAAACCAGTTTAACACACACCTGCGGGAAGGCCCGAGTCTCAGACGGCGGCCAAGGCAGGGTTTGCCCCGGAGGGAACCCGCGTGCTGACCCAGAGCTGAGCGCAGACCGTGTACCTGTTGAAAAGAGCCGGGGACGTGGCCGCCCGGTCCTTGAGCCCCTCGGAGGACGGGTTCATGGTGAAGACGACGTGGAGGTTGCGGATGACCTGGCTGGTGAACCACTTGTACAGCTCCTCGTGCGAGTCCAGCATCAGGCCCTCCTTCTGGGCCCCCTCTTTGCACTGGGTCATCAAGGTGGCGTACTCATCGCCTTCGAACAGACCAGGGACCTACGAGATAAACAGCACCATGCCCGACGGGTCCTGGTGACGCCACCACGGAACAGCCACCAGGGCAATGGGCCACTGCATCACCTCTCCATTGGCCAGAAGCGTATTCATTCGCTCCAGGAATCCAGAATCTAACACGTTGGACTCGTCCATTATAAACGCTATCTTTTCATTTTTGCAGCCAGAACGTCTCAACACTGTCCGAAGGTCTTCGTCAAAGTCTTCCCCCGTGTACTTCCTGTGGACCTGCGGGGGCAGCGGCAGGTTAGGCCCTCTCACCCCAGGAGCTCCGAGCAGGAACCAGAACCCACTGCTGGATGAAGAGCCTACGGAGACCCACCTTGATCTGGTACACACTCAAACCGTTCATCCAGGCCACGAATCGGGACAGGGTGGTTTTTCCCGCTCCACTGACCCCAATCAGAAGCAAGTGGCCTTGAGGCTGGCGGAATATTCTGAAACGGTACCGGAAAGAATACATTTAAGGCTTTACGCTGCATTCCCCTTTTGATACTTGTGCCCTGGACTTTTCTAGGATTCAGTCTACAACATTTCTCATGTGTTTTAACTTGAATTTGTTAAATAACAATTTAACTTTTTTATTTGCCAGGTCCAGTGCGATGAAAAGATCCGATGGCACGAGGGAGACAGGTCTAGGAGATGGAAAGGGCTGTCAGCACAGGTGTGCAGAACTAGGAGGAGCTGACGGAGGTCTGCTTAGCAGGCAAGTGGGGGACAGAAAAGCGGGACTCATAAAGAAGGGGGGCCCTTGGCCGGGGGGGCTGAGGTGGGACTGGGGAGGGTCAGTCGGGAGAAGAGCACCGGTCCCTGTACCAACCCCCCACCCCCAGAGCAGCTCAGGTGAGTGGGGAGCTGTGACAACAAGAAGCCCACCGGTCGATCCTGAGCACGTGGTCCAGCACTTCGTTAAACAGGACCAGAGGAACGTCAAGCTCTTCTTCATAGAAGACTTTCAGCCTTGCTTTGACATAATCTCTTAACTCTTCTTGGTCTACTGGGATGTAATCCTGGAGAAAAAAGGTAAGACCCAAATTACTAAGAAGACATGATCTTAGTTATTATTCCAAAGTCAATTATAATTCCACATTATTGAATGACCCTCTGTTAAAAATGCAATAAAAGATGTCATTTACAACACAGCCAAGAAAAACACAAGGTAACTGGGACTAGATCTGGAAACACGGAGAATCTGCAGAGAAGGCCGACTCCCTGAAGACACGAGAGAGACCTATGTAAATGGAGAGAACCACGGTCCTGCAGAAAAAGCACCGACCGTGCACAGGCCACTCCCACCCACAGACAATCAATGGGATCCCAGCAGAAATCACAGCAGTGGGTGGCAGTTCTGCTGCAGCCTGACAAACCAATTCTAAATGTCATTTGGAGAGGAGAGGCCCAAAGGTCAGGACCTCCCCACAGAAGAGCCAGGGGTGAGGCCCGAGATCAGACAGACTTATCACTGTCATCAGGAGGATGTGGTTTGCGCACAGGAAGCGACAAACCGATCAGTGGACAGGACGGAGCTCTGAAACAGACCCGTGCACACAGAAGTCCATTTTGATAGTGACTGCAGAGTAGAGGTCATTCAACAAACGGTGCTGGGACCGTGGATGTTCGTGGGAAAGAAAATGTGTCCATAGCTCACTCCATACACAAACAAAACTACTGATGAATTACGAATTTCAATAGTATTTCTTTAAGAACATTTGTTTCGCCCGGCCAGTGTGGCACAGTGGTTGGACTTCGACCTATGAACCAGGAGGTCCCGGTTCAATTCCCTGTCAGGGCACATGCCTGGGTTGTGGCTCAATCCTCAGTAGGGGGCATGCAAGAAGCAACTGATCAATGATTCTCATTATTGCTGTTTCTACCTTTCTCCCTTCCTCTCTAAACTCAATAAAAATATATTTAAAATAAACAAAAATCATTTGTTTTTCAAAAACCACCAAAGAGTGAAAAGACAAGCCACTGGGAGGAGCTACTGCTTCTAACTGAAGGATTAGCATCTCAAGTCTGGAAATAAACTGCAGATTCTAGCACAAGCATGTCAAACTCCCCAGCCAATATAACGGTATGTAAGAAACGTTTTACAGACTGTCAAACTACAGCGGGAAGGCCGGGGAGGGTTGGGGGGCAGGAGTGGAGGGGGGTAAGAGATCAACCGAAGGACTTGTATGCATGCATATAAGCATAACCAATGGACATAAGACACTGGGGGTAGGGGAGGCCAGGGGATTGTCAAGGGCGGGGCGGGGGGGGGGGGGAAGGAGACATATGTAATACTCTTTGTAATACTTTAAGCAATAAAAATTTAAAAAAAAAGAAACGTTTTAACAAAAATTTCGTTAGCTTAATACTTACAATATCCTGTTATACATAATTGTTAATAACGAACTACAATGTTCACTAATGACTGATTACTATAATTGTATTGCATTCATTTCCCTTACGTGCCTTATGCACAGGCGCACCATTTCTCTCCACTAATACTAGCAGCGAATATTTAAGCAGCCAATTGCCATGTCATTAGTCTTGAACTGACTTGTTTGGTGTGCGCAACAGGAAATATTTCACTTTTGGAGAACAAAAACATAGGCTTATTTGTGTTACGCTTATTAATTTGTGCAGTTATTCAGTGTCTGATAAGTTAATGTTTAAGAAAAAATATTAATTTTTATTAAAATGTTCTATTATTTTATGTTAACGATGACTCACTTATCTCAGCCCTTTGTGTTCAGCATGTCTCTATCGAAATAAACCTACGTTTCTATGAAAATTGAAGCTTTGTTTTTTTGTGGCCACATACACTTAACCCTTGTTTATTTGGCCGTGTTAGCCTTGGAGTCGGACAGGCTTGCTCCAGCACAATGAACACACCTGCCTGCTGCCTGTGCTCCCGTCAGGCCCTCTGCCTGGCAAGCCCTTCCTTACGCCCAGGAGGCCCGAGAGCCTGTGGAGACCCGACGCCAGGACCTCTCCCGACGGGCCACGTCCCTGTCTCGCCCTTTTAGACCGTGGCCCTGACACGCCCCCGAATCAGCTGCTACCAAATGACGTGCACAGCAAGAGGACAACTCACTAAAGCGCCCCCACCTCCTCTTCAGAGAAAAGGACGGCTCGCGGCTGTGCTGGAAACGTGACCTCTGTGGAGGATCTTAGCGTATGAAACGTTCACACAAATGAGGAAAGAGCAAAGGGGAAGCAGAGGCTTTCCCTGCAAACACGCTGGAGCCACATCTGCTGGCTGGAGCAGCCATCGCATGGAGAGAAGAAACAGCCGTCCAGCCACACTCCGGGGACTCTACCCTAAACCCCTACGTTATCAGCGGCTGCAGAGACGCAGTCACCGTCACGCGTGTAACCACCTTCATTGACAGCGCACTTCCAGACAGACACGTTTTTTGGTCAGAGGATCATTCTAACCGACAGGAAGGCAGAGGAGAGGGCATGGCTGACTGACAGGAGGCGGGAACAGGGCTAACTGCAGGGCCAGGTCACAGAGAGGTCAGGGGGTCACAGAGGAGGGGTCACGGGTCACAGAGGAGGGACATGGCTGACTGCAGGGCATGGCTCTCTCCTTGTCGATGTTGGGGAAGTGCTTCAGAGCCACCATGTCGATGTTCTCGTCGGTCCAGCGCCGCTCCTCGTCCTCCACAAGCCTGCCGGGAGAGCAGCGTGTGAGTCCGGAGGCCAATGGGGGGGGTGGGAGGGGAACACCAGGTTTGTGTGTTAAGGGTGACTCCAAGGGCTGAGATCAGTCTTTCCCAGAAATTTTCATTTTCTACAAATGGAAAAACCTGAGAATCTGAACTCAAGATGCTTAAGCAATCCGAAGTTTTAACATCCTATATAATAAAAGGCTATGCAAATTGTCCCCTCGATCGGGAGTTCCACCAGGGGACCGGGCCAGCCTGCCAACAGCCCGCGGCCCCTCTCCCCAGCCAGCCGGACCCCACCTATGCACGAATTCATGCACCGGGCCTCTAGTTAAATATAAAACCCTGAGACCTATAGCACTACACTGAAAACAACTCCCTTAGAAAGACTTAACCACGTGGTTCAAGAAGAAACGGTGGTCCAGGGTCTCAGCTTGTTGAACAGTGCTCTGAGCGCAGGTGCTGAGGACAGATGGGAACTGCAGTGTGCAGCTCTGAAGGTGCAGGCTCGTGAAGAAAACAGCAAGCAGGTGAGCTGTGCCTGTCCCTACAGCTGGGAGGGGACCTTGGGAGGTGACTACACTGAGCAGGCATGTCATGGAGTTACTGAAGTCCCTCAGAACTGAGATGCACGGTGGCTATGCCTACATTCAAATCTAAACAAAACCTTTCTCTGGTATTTTGGGAAAGCTGTGAAAATTGCACTACAGCTCAAAATTCATTTAAAAAATATTTTTACTGATTTCAGAGAGGAAGGGAGAGGGAGAGAGAAATAGAAACATCAATGATGAGAGAGAATAACTGATAGGCTGCCTCCTACACACTCCCTATTGGGGATCGAGTCCGCAACCCGGGCATGTGCCCTTGACTGTAATCAAACCCAGGACCCTTCAACCCGCAGGCCAGTGCTCTATCCACTGAGCCAAACCGGCCAGCGCTCAAAATTCATTTTTTAAGTTAAAAAAGGGAGAGCGAGCCCTGGCTGGTGTGGCTCAGTGGATAGAATGTCTGTCAGCCTATGGACTGAAGGGTCCCGGGTTCAATTCCAGGGGGCATGCAGGAGGCAGTCAATGATTCTCTCCCTCTCCCTTCCTCTCTGAAATCAATAAAAATACATTAGAAAAAAAAAAAGGGAGAGTGAAGGTAGCTCACATAACAACAAAAAGACTGCATTTTTAAACCACAGAGCTGCCAGGGCTCATGTGCTGCCTCCCCGGCCCTGCCTCACGCACCTCACTCCAGGCTCTCAGTAAGGCAGTCCGTGGGCCCCAGAGGTGCCCTGCAGCCTGGCCTGAAAACCATGGGTCTATACGGCAGCACCAAGACCCCAACAAGCCGGGATGAGAACAGCTGCATGGGGGCAGGACACTGGTCTCCAGGAGTAACTGCCAAACGCTTCTTTCTCAGTCTGTCAGTCTGGAGGCAGCCACTGGCCGGGCTTTCCCAGGGGAGTAACTGCTAACTAGCTGCCAGCGACTCCCAGCAGCTGAGATCAGCAGTGGCCAGAGGAGCTTACCTGGTCCTGCTGCAGATGGCCACCTGGGAGGGCGAGGGCCTGGCCCTGCGTGCATCCGCTCTGAGCCCCCCCTGTCCACTGTGAGATCTGGCTCATGGGCACGTTTCCCCAAATGACATGCAATAGGAAACTTGGTGCTGTATTAAATACCACGTCAGTTAAGATGTATTGTTTACTAAACATTTAGTTAAGGCAACACAAATTTAACTTTTTCTCACTAACCTAAAATGAGCCTAATATTCTGTGAAAAATTGCAGTGTTGAAATACATAAAATTAAAACTATAAGAAGATGCCCTAACTGGTTTGGCTCAGTGGATAGAGCATCGGCCTGCAGACTGAAAGGTCCCAGGTTCGATTCCGGTCAAGGGCATGTACTTTGGTTGCGGGCACATTTCCAGTCGGAGGTGTGCAGGAGGCAGCTGATTGATGTTTCTAACTCTCTATCCATCTCCCTTCCTCTCTGCAAAAAAATCAATACATCTTTAAAAAAACAAAACTGTAAGAAGAAAGAACTGACACAAACATTAGGAATTTATTGTAAAACGAAGGTTGTACGGAATTATAAAGAAGGCAAGAAAAAGGTCCTGATTTTACAAGGTTAATAACTTTCAAGATTCCTTAAATGAGAAAAAGACTCAACTTTTTACTGTGACACTTGGTCTGACTCGGACCACAACCGGCTGTGATGGATACTGATCCCCACAGTCATTAGCAATTCCCTTCCCGAAGTAACAAGGAAAACACGAAGCTTACAAGACAACAGCGGACACAAGTGGCCAACAGTGAGAGAGAAATCCAATGCCTCAGACACAGCTGCAACCCCTTGATGAGAACCAAGACAGGGACAAGGAAGGGGGTGGCTGTGGAGGCCACACACCACATCGTGTTAGAAGGCATTTAACTCACGGTGAACTCTGCGCTTGGACAGGTTACCACAGGTAACTACCTTGTGTGGTGCCCACTGGACAGAGGGTAAGGGGCCTCCCCAAGGTCACAGGTGACCAGGGTGGGCGGCCACAGTACGCTGCCACCCGTCTGTCAGGGGTGGGCATGATGAATCCCAGACACAGGCTGCCCTGGCCGCCTCCGTTCCTTCCATTCCCAGCTCAGAGCTCAGCCTGGCTCACAGGGGGCAGGCAAGCCTCACTGAACCCCACTCAGAGGGTCAGAGGGACTCAAAGAGGGGGGACGGCACTGCCCGGGTCCGTGGCCTTACCTGTCTTGGAAGAGGCGCAGGGCTTCATGGGCCCAGATTCTGATGAGCCCTTCCACAGGCAGAGTCTCCAGCGGCCGCAGGGCCTCGAAGATGCCCCGCACCCACCTCGTCATCTCACGGGGCGAGTAGATGTAGTGGGGCTGTGTGTCCTGGGTGAACCTCTCCTGTGGGAACCGGGAAAATGGAGTTACATGTGAGTATCTTAAGACATGAAAAGTGGTCGAAAGGCCAAATGCTGTATAACATTCTTATATTAAAAATAAAGAACCTAGCCCCAGAACACTTAAGGATGGATTAAATAGTGTTGGAGCAACTGGACAACTGTCCAGAACTAAGTTAGATCCAAGTTGCTCATTTTATGTTGGAAAAAACCCCCCAAAAAACCCTACAAAATACTCTTCTAAAAATATTTTTTTAAATGAAATTCCTAAGTTGAGCCTTTCTAGGCATGATTTTCATTAAAACCACAATTGAAACAAAGAAAAAGATTTACAATGATGACAACAATAATTCTGTAGGAAAAAACTACACTTATACAAAATTAAAAACAATTTTAAAAACTGGGGAAGTTGTTGCAACCTGCCCGGCAGCGCTCCCAAAGGCCTGGAGCAAGATGGACGATGGCCGGGCACGGAAGCGGGCGTTCTCCTCACGGCCCTGGGAAAGGCAGGCAGGCAGGCAGGCTGCCCCAGGGATGCCGGCGAGAACCACTGGGCTCATCCAGTGGCAAAGGGACGCTTCTAGTAAACATTAAGATGCTAACGAGAAAAGGCAGAGGCCTTGCAGGTGGGGGTGAGCGTCTAGCAGAGAGCAGTGAGACAGCAGGTGCTCCTACGGACACTGCGGCCCGATCAGACAGGCTCCGCTCACAGCCCCAGCCTCATAGGGAAACAGTGCAGGGCAAGAAGCAGCACAGAACCTCAGCAGTCACGACCTGCGCAGGGGCACGCTGGGTGGCAGACTCTGGAGAAAGGCTCTCGGCTAAACGAGGGGTTGGAATAAAGCTGTCTCCTGGCAGAGCCCTCCCATGACCAGAGGGGTGGGGAAGCCCGTGTACCTGAGACATGGTGTAGAACTCCACCATGGCGGCCGTGAGCGGCTCCGCATACGTGCGCAGCGACGGGATGAGCCGCAGCATGGCCCGGTTGAAGGTGCCGTAGATCTGTGTCAGGGAGGCGGGTCCCGGGTAATCCACGTACACCACAGGCACGTGACGCAAGAATCTGTGCAAAGACAGCGGGCTCAGCCTCCCGGTGAGGAGTGGTGCCCCAGCGTGGTGCCCGTCCTGGGCTGGACCCCAAGCTGCTCCCTAACCCACCTACACAGGCTTCACGCCAGTCACCTGAGCTCACACCAAACAGCTCAGGTCTGAGCCTGACCCCTAACAGTAGATGCAAAGCACTTGAGAAAGAATTAAAACAGCGCAGGCTTGCTCTAACCAGTTTGGCTCAGTGGATAGAGCGTCGGCCTGTGGACTGAAGGGTCCCAGGTTTGATTCCAGTCAAGGGCACATGCCCGGGTTGTGGGCACATCCCCAGTAAGTGGTGTGCAGGAGGCAGCTGATCAATGTTTGTCTCTCATCGATGTTTCTGACTCTCTATCCCTCTCCCTTCCTCTCTGTAAAAAATCAGTAAAATATATTAAAAAACACACACAAAACAGTGCAGGCTCATTTCAGCCTTTTCCTGGCCCTGCAGACAGTCTGGGCAGATCACTGCTGCCCGAGGAGTGGATGCTTCTACCGCCAGGGCATCCCAGCGCACAGCAGTGCAGGAGCCCAGGAGGGGCCCCAGGATGTCAGCCTTTTGTTACCTTTTTACGGTTAAACCAGATGTTTGTTGTGCCGCCTATAAAGCCACCCTGGAATTCGTGTGCCAGGCCAGTGAGGTCAGTAGAGCTGGCATTACCTGTGAGAGAGAGGCTTTCTCCCAGGATCCGTGGGCGGATTGCAAGCCCCGACAAACTGGATCCTCTCCAGCTTCACCCAGGTTTGATCTGAGGTTCGGTAGAAGCCTCCATGTTCCACCATCTGAGGGAAGCAGGAGGGGACACGTTAGGAGCATGCGTGCGAACCCGGGGAGCAGGGCCGCGGGCGTAAACAAACCTGTCTGATGAAGGAGATGACCCTCTGCGTCCCGTACTTGTCCATGTCTGGCAAGTTGATCTCATCACAGAACAGCACCAGCCACTTGCCCAGCTGGACGGGAGCCAGGACGACGCCGTTGGGCGTGCGCCGGTACTCGCAGTAGTGGTCGAAGGTCTTCAGCAGCAGCTCTGGAGTGGTGGCGCTGGAGAAGTTCAGACCCACCACCTGCAGACAGGACGACACCATCAGTATCAGAGGGCCGACCCAACCACGACAGCCTCCTGCCCACCTCCCGCCGAGTTACCTCCATGTCGGGCAGGGCCCGCAGGGCACTGAAGAGCGTCATGGTTTTGCCGGACCCGGGGGGGCCACACAAGACCAGTGGCTTGTGCTCGGCCAGCCAGGTGTACAGGAGGGCTTCGTGGCGGACCGTGTCCAGGGTCGGCACGACGACGTCTGGGGCCGCCACCTTGTGGGTCTCCACTTCAATCTGAGGCACCTTGGCCTGCCACGGCGACCACTCTCCACTGATGGACACCTACACAGAGAGATGGGGGAACAGTCACCCTGGGGCCCCGGTGCCTCCTCACAAGACACGCTCAGTTTCACACAAATCAGAACTTTCAAGCTAGTCTGTGCTCCTTGTACAGCATGAATCAAAGAGGAGAAGCTGCTTCTAGAAGTGGAGAGGGGAGTCCGAGTCCACAGCAAGGCTGCACCAAAGGGGGAGGCTGCACCTCAGCCCACTGACCTCGTAATCAATGATGGGGATGTTGGGTGCAGCGGGCAGGGGCACGGTCGTGATCCTTCTGATGTACTCGCCCAGCTCTGCCCTCATTTTCAGCCGACTGTCCCCAGACAAGGACCAGAGAATGGCATAAACCAGATACCGCTGTGGAAAGAGAAGCAACTCGTTTTCCATCAAGTTCCCACAACAACAAAGCAGACGTCCATGCAACATTAACCCTGAGTGGCTCCTGGACGCTCAGAGCACACGCAGGGCACGCCGCTCCCCTGACCTGGATGTAGCGCTCCAGCTGCTCGATCTGCATGGGGAAGTCGGGGTGGTTGGCGTTGTACTGGGCCACGTTGCGGCAGGCCTGGTGCAGCATGGAGAACAGGGAGCCCAGGCAGCGCAGGCGGGTCAGGTCCATGATGTGCTCCAGCTTGAAGGCGTGCTCCAGGGCCTTGGTGACCAGGCCGTTGGACGTGAAGTACGGCTGCATGATGGTTGCCGCGTCCCTTTGGATCTGCGAGAGGAAGGAAATGCCGCGTAACTCATTTCAAGAGCCTGGGCACTTTCAAGCACTTCTAATCTAGGCCAGGGCGGGTCACTTGATCTCGGGAGAGTATATTTTGGATTAAAAAATGAAGGATGAGCTCAAATGACCAATCCTCATCCCTTCATCCTGATGGTTCTCAAAAATCATGTTTCCTGGGAACACTGGTTCCCTCCAGCGACGTGAAAGGGCAGACGTCCATCAGTCTATGCGGGAAGGAAGCAGAGGGCTCTACACGCTCTCCCGCGTGCCTTAGCTTTGGCAGCTGCAGTGGCTGGGCTTCCTCAGGGGCGGGTGTAACACAAACCTCAAGAGAGTGCCTGCCTGGCTTCCGAAGTGTGTGTGTACGCGCGCACACATGTATGAGTGGGGGAGAGGGGGAGAGACACAACCCTCGGACCCGAGCTCGCGGTGCCTACCTGCAGCATCGGGGACGCAGCCTCCTCCCCCTCGTCCTCCTTGCCCTTGCGCCGGCGCTGGGCCTCGTCCTCCCCTTCGTCCAGGGGGATGCTGCGCAGCCGGGCCAGGAAGTTGTTGAAGATCATGTCTGTGCTGAGCACGTCCTCGCTGAACCAGACCATGCCGCAGCGCGACACTGTGGCCAGGGTGGCGTACTTCAGGTCCTGCACTTCAAACATGATTCGCACCTGGAGGGAAAACACCAAGCAGGTTGAACGATGCAGGTTTGGTAGAAACCTGGATGTTAAAGTTCTCTTTCCTATGTATGCCCTGAAAGAGTGATTTCTATCCAATTTTTCTGCACTTAGTTAAAAAGAAAAAATATCAATGGGCCCTTGGAGAAGCCACGGCTCCGGGAAGGGGACGCCAGCAGTGAGCACCCCTGCTCATCGTGGCCCATGCTCCCGGCTGGAACCCGCTCGGCCCTCACCAGTGCCCGGGGCAGGTGCACAGCGTCTCCATGTTACAGATGGGCTGGGGCTTTCCCAGGTCCCACAGCCACCAGATGGTGAGGCGGAGATTCAAACCAGATGCCCAGATTCCGAAGCCTCACCCTCGGTGCTCACCTGCCTCCGGGAGAGCAAGCCCTCTCTAACAACAGAGACTCTACTGGACAATGCGCTCTGAGAAAACACCCGACTAGTCAAATCCAGACACGCGTCTGAGTGGACACAGCTGCTGCGGCCAAGCACCTCGGTCATGCTCCGCTCCTCCTTTCTCACACCCGCCTCTGGTGGTCCATCGGCCAATCTCTACACCTTCACTTCCGACCCATCCCCACGGCTCTGCCTGGTGCCAGGCAGCCTCCAAAGGTCCCCTTGCTCCCAGCCTGTCCTCCAACCAGCAGCCAGAGGGGTCTTTGGCAACCAACAGTGACACTGTCCAGACTCTCCCATGCTTCCAGCTCACCCGGCGGGCAGGCTCAGTCCTCACAAGGACCCAGAGGCCCATGTCCTCTGTGATCTCACT